TAGAATTCAATTCTAGTAATTGAATTGAATTTCACTAATCTAGAATTGAATTCTAGTAATTGAATTGAATTTCACTAATCTAGAATTCAATTCTAATAATTTTGAAATTCCGAGAAAATTATTAACTATTTAATAAAAGAAAGAAAGTCGCTACGTCAAAGACACAAATATTGTACATTTTTCTTTTAAATTCGAATGAAATCGTTAGTTTCGAGAACCACCGAGCAAACCGAAATCCGAACGCAGTTAATTTCATTTCCAAGATCGCGACGGATTCATTCCTGTGGAACTCGACGTCATAATCGAATTCTGTCCCGAGAGAAAAATACCGTGTCGAGTGACCATGAGAGGCCAATCGTAATTACGTCATCGTAACGACAGATATAGAATCACTGTCACTCTCAGTGTGAACCACAATACGAACACGGGTCATAGGCCTCATCTTTTCTTGGAATGTTTCGCTGCGTAGTCCGTCGTCCTTTAGCGTAGCCCCGGACACGTTGGAAATCCCACGACTATGACAAACAACACCTGCGTCATTTTTGAACCCAACACAATATCAGTCTTTCTAGTTTTTTTATTTTCTTTTTAGCGACACCTTTCCTTCGACCACCCTATTCCAACTCTTCCTTTTTCCAATTTCACCCCTCTCGTTTTGCCAACCTCGTCAATATCACTTTATTTCACCGTGTCAACACGATGCCGGTCAAATTACTCGTGAATAATTATCTGAGCCTGACGCTTTGTTTTTATAAAACTGAATCTTATTTTTATCGAATTTAAACTAGCACTTATTTCTGCAATATCGCTAAATTCATGAATCCTATGCAAAGTTATTTTCTATAACATCTAATCTTCAGAATTGACTTATTTAATTCTTTAATCGGAAAGCTTGTGATTCATATATGGGTGACGTGGCGATCAACATATTAAAAAGACGAGGCAAAGAGAAAAGTAAACTAAGAGACCCGTGTACGGACGTCAGGGCTTGAAGGAATTCCTTCTGAAGGGAGGGAATAGAATTCATAAGTTCGGCAAGATTAGACAAATAAGTACCGAGATAAATGTTGGATCATGTAGGTTCGAGTTGTTTTTAAATAGTGTTTCGATACATTATGGAAATATCAGAAATATCAGCCTGGCCAATTAGCGTGTTAATCGATCGTCTATGAATATATGAAATATATTTAATAATTACATATATAATATTTAATTATGCAACGCATATATACATAAGAAATATAGACAAATTTCTGTATTGTTTCTCTCTCCTACTCTTCCAATTGCAGCAAATTGTAATTAGGAATTGAAACCCTATAATTGATTAAATATTATAAATATAAATTTAGGGATTACACTATTCAAATTTGACATAAATATCTATTAAATTTGTTCGTTTGTCTAAGCCTACCAACTGTTTTCAGTGAATCGACTTCACTTCTGAAACCATTACTTCTGTAATAGAAATTTCATAAGAAATTCCCATACCACTATTGTTTTATTAAGAAAGGAAATCTTATAGCTATTTTCGAGACAAATTTTACAGATCACTGAAACAACAATTTTTAATTAACCTTTCGAACTCCTTCGTTCAAAGCCTACTTACGACTAGCATAGTTGGGAAAGAACTATACCTTAAGAAGCCAACAGCGCGACACTTGGAGCTCGTATTCAGCTGACGAGGAGCGCTCAGAGACGAGCCCGATGCATCGATGGCGTCTTTCGGCGCGGGTGTTATACCGTCTTGGGCAGACATGCTATTTTTTTCGTTTCCTATTCGCCTCAGATTTCGTTTGCTCGAGCTCTTCCGTCCCGCTTCGACGCTCTTGCGAATTCCGAATAAAACTTACACGTGTCTGCGAATAAGAGAAAAACAAGCCTAATCGCAGGGTGGGCTAGCCGGGTCATCGAGCTCCGGACTCACACGTACAGGCCTCAAATTCGCACACAAGGACGTTTGAAAAACGACCGAGTCAAAGGTACACAATTTTGTTTTGGTTTATTTCACGCGTTATCGCGTAGCTGGAAGTTTTCAGTTTATTTATAGTTTATAATATGATATATTTGAACAGTAGTTTCTGTAATATATAATACACGGTCGATGTGGGCACTCAAAGGCAAGAGAAATAATAACACAACATAATACTATATAAGATAATTGAATACAAGATGGCAGAGCACAACAAGACATGACATAACACATCGTAAAATAGTATAATACAACATAAAATACACCGAAACGCAACAGAACGCAACAGAACGCTACGCATAACATAATACTGCATGAGGTAATAGAATACAAGATGGCAGAGCACAACAAAACATGACACAACATAACACTTCATAACAGAATGTAATACATTATAATGCAATATAATACAACATAAAATACAGCGAAACACAACATAACACTTCATAACAGCATATAACGCATCATAATACAACATAAAATACAGCAAAACGCAACGAAACATAACATAACACTACACATTAGAATACAACACATCATAATGAAATATAATACAACATAATAAAACATAAAATACAGCAAAACGCAACGAAACACAACATAACACTACACATCAGAATATAACACAACATAACACTACACATCAGAATATAATACATCATAATGCAATACAATAGAACATAATAAAACATAAAATACAGCAAAATAGAACAAAACTCAACAGTGGTGTATTACGGTGTATTATGTATATATTTGGTGTATTATGCAACATAATACACCAAAAAAAAAAAAAAAAATTATTCTCCGCGAGGATACCAGAGCAAGTATTTAAAATTCCTTTTATAAGAGCCATTACGAATTAAATAAATAAACTTTATACTCCTGGTATCTAGTTTCAATTTTTTAATACTAAACTTACCAAACCAGTCAATTTTATCCATCTATTTCAAACTTTTTCTTAAAATCATTTATTTCTGGACAATTCTTTTATCTCAATTTCTTGGGGCCAATTATTGCAACTGTGAATGAATTTTATTCGTAAATTATCTCGACCGTTCTCCCTCTAATTATAAAGATACAGTTTTATGTATGATAAATGTACGCTGATTAATTGCTGTCTACTTTGTCGTAGCAATTTATAAAATGACAAAGTAAAAGTTGGAAAAATTAAAGTTAATTAAAATAATATCTCTATTACTATCGCTACTGTAATTTGTTACCTAATTACATCTAATTATTGCCAAATAATTCTAAGCTAAAGGGCTCTTTGTATGACAACCTATAAATAAATAAATAAAAAAATAAATAAGTAAAAAGAGTTCCATGGATAAATAGTTTTGTCACACCAGAAGTGATCTAGTACCCCGTGAGGGTTAATTTAACCCGATTAAAAACCAGACAGCCCCTAACCGGTAGATCCCTCGCGATCTATTACAGGCACCGCGGAAAATGTGTCATCGCGCCAGAGGAAACAGAAATTTTCCTCCTTCTGCGATTTCCTTCGGTGGAAACGTCTCCTCTTCCTCTTTCACGGTGTTGTCGCGATTTTCCTTCATGCATGCCCACCACACGCGACACGATCTTACGCGCGGCTGCGTAACTATTTGATACACTTGCTACACTCTTGGTACAACACCGGTCAACGTCCTTTCGAAGGTTTGGATCATGCGATCCGAAAGGTAAGAGCGAGTGCGCAGTACGTCGCATACCGATCGATCGATGTAAACGACTGGTCACAGGAACGGATCGATGCGGGTTCGATATAACACCATTTCTCACACACGCGTTATTTTTTTCCGTCGGTATTAACGCGGTGAATTAAATTACCGAGTAAACAAGAAAATGTGGTAATATATTGTATACATCGACGCAGTTTAGTTGTGATGTGAGACTTTTTGGACACCTCCAAATCGTGTTTTTGAAATAAATATATAATATACATAGATATTATTTATTAATTGATATATGTATAACAAATATTTAATATTTTATATATATATAGATATTTGGTATAGACATAGATATATTATATTATATATTTATTTTAAACTCACGATTTGGAGGTGTCCAAAAAGTCACACATCACAATTAAACTGAGCCAATATATACGGTATATTACTATATTTTTTTATATTATTTTTTATATTTTATATTACTATATTACACAACATGAACAATAACAAATCTTTAATTGGGTTACATTACAATTAAACTGAGCCAATATATACAATATACTACTATATTTTTTTATATCATTTTTTATATTCTATATTACTATATTACGCAACATAAACAATACATAAATCTTTATCTCGGGTTTTCCAATCAAGAAATGGATTTGCTTACATCGAATCTAATTCCATTCTCTTAAACTTCTATTATTTTTTATCTATTTCTACAGTACCAATGTCTAACCAGTACAACTACTAAACTTATGTACTACCGTGTGTTTGGTCTTCTCGTTAATCTCGTTTTTCTCTCATCAATTTCCTTTTCTTCCTCTATTTCTGCTTATCCATTCTATCACCCTTTCGTCTGCTCTCCCTTCTACCACTTTTTCATCTTTTACATCGACATCTCTAGTGCCTGATAATCTTCCATTTACCTCTAGCTTACACAATTAAGACTCTTTCTCCTCTTCTTCTACCCAATATCTATTCCTTTCTTCCAAATTCCCGCACCTCACTCTAGCTGGTTAATTTCTCGCTTTCTCCTCTTCCATTTTTGCTTAAATATTCTGGTCTCTGTTCGACTCCAATTAAGAACTCCAATTTAAGATTTCACATCGCAATAAGTGACTTCGTGCGATAGGTTAATGATTTTGCCTAAACAAGTGCCATCTTACCGTGGGTAAAATTATGTAACGTTCTATTTAAAAAAATTAATCTCTTTGTTAAATCTCCTCCGCTACTTTACTTACACTTAAATCATTTGCACCAAATAATTTACCTTTTTGTACCAAATAACTTTTGCGAAAACCTTTTTTCCATAGCTCCATCCTCTTACGAGATATTTAACTGTTTGATGAATGAAATAAATAGCACGCAAATATACATATACAATAAATAAAAAAGATATATATATTTTAAGTGTTCAAACAACCTCACATCATAATTAAACTGGACCGATACATATAATATATTACTATATTCTTTACACTTAATATAGTTATATATATATATATTTTGGAAATTGTATATAATGTGGAAAACTTTCGAGAAACGATCGCGGTACAATAACGAACAAAAATTAATTAAAATTATACATTTTCGCGATTCTTTACAATTGATAACTTACAATCGGAAAAGTTTAAATGTTGGATTAGTGATAAAAAACTTCATAATTGAAGTGTATGTATACAGTATTGTGCGCCTCAAAATAATAATAAATGAAAAAAGAACACGACTCCCTCAGGGGCTGTAGCTATGTTTAATTATATGTAGCTACAGTACGGGTTTAGCGATCCCGAGGTACTCGAGCAATAGTAAAATATTTTAATGTAAACAAAGATGTGTCGATAAGTGGTACAGCTAATGCGATCGGTTTCGCACTATACTAAAACAAATAAACAAAGAACACGACTGGTAAGGTGCGGCGTTGATCAGTGGGAAAAGCGGTCGACTGTCGATCCTAGGGTCCCGAGTACGAATCCCGTGCCCCTTATCCTTGGGCCCGACTCCTACACGTATATATACGTTATTTAGATTTTCCATGTATCATATTCCATCGCAATCGTGCGCACTTCGCACGTTTCCTACGATTTATCGGTTTGAGGTGTGATTCGCGAGGAGAAAAAGGATAACAAGATGAGTCCTTGGATGACGCGCGTAGAAACGGCCAGAAGCGTGGAATAATTCCGTTTCGAACGATGCCTATGACGCATGGAAATCGTTTTTCCTTGTAGACGACGCGTGATTCAGCTTAATACGCCCCTGACTCGGGGAACATGAACGTTTCCTCGAGAGATACCAACGAGGTTTCCTGTTTGAGAGGCTTGCGTTGATATTTCGATCTCGTTTCGAGCCAATCCCTACCAATCACCCCGCACATTTGCAATTCCTCGTCGGACGGTGTTTACGCGCGCACGATCGTTTCGCGGGCCCGTTTCCTCGTGCTGCCGATCTTTCCACGGCTTTTTCTCGATTATCGGCGCGCGCTTAACATCGTCCGGCGTTAATTTTCCACGCGGTGATCCACGAGAATGAATTTCACACGGAAAGTAGACCGAAGGCTAATCAGCATCGAGCCGCGATCGTTCCGATAAGTTGTGGGGCAAGAATCGAGAAATCATGTTCCGCGACCGACTTCGAACGAGAAGTTGCGCCGTTTGTCACTTTTACTGTTGTTGAGGTCAGTCGAGCATTGACCGTTCGTCGTTTTAATTCCCGTGCATTTCTACAGGGTAACGTACGGCCGCGCGCCTTGTTTTCACCATTCTTCCTTCGTTTTCTTACTTTCTTTTATGCCGGTGGACACTTAGGCACACGAGTGGAAAAACGTCGACGGGGTGGTCCGGTCTGAGCGGCTCGTAAACTCGTTTTTAAAAAAAATTAGATTTTATCCGGACTTGATCGATGGGTAACAATCGATCTTCTTCTTTTTCTGTCTTCTGTTGTACATTCGAACTTTAGAAAACTTTCGAGAAACGATCGAGGTATAATTACGAACAAAAGTTCATTAAATTTGTAGATTTTGATATCAATAACTTACAGTTGGAAAAGTTCTATATTGTAATATTACTTTAATATACTTGCATTGAAAGGAGTAGACCTAAAAAATGTCGTAGAAAATAATACAAATATATATATTTACATCATATTCTTGTATATTTAATTTCTAGAAAAGTATATTTATTGATAAGACTAGTATTTATTGATAAATTAATAATTACATTTTCAATAGTTTTGTTTTTTTTTCATTTTCATATTCCTTATATTTAGTTAGTTATGTTCAACATGGAAAAATAAAATTTTATTTGAATGTAAAAAGAGATAATTTTCTTAATTTTAATTATACATTGAATTCGTTTAAATATTTTAATTTTAGATTTATTTATATTTAATTGATAAAATAAATTGCTTAAAATAATGAAATTTAGATAGTTTAAGATAAAATAATAATTTGTGGAATCATTGATGTTGATTTACTTTACATTATATTGTATAATTTATTAATATTTAGAATGATTATATTATTATTAAGATTAATATATATATATAAATATATAAATATATATATATATATAATTATATATTTATTTATTTATTATAAAATTTATACATATATAATATAATATAATTTATATATTAATATAATTTATTAATAAAAATCAATGATTGCAGAAATTATTATTTCACCTTAATACGATATAATAATTCTAAAAATGTATAAATTATACAATCTAATTTAAATTTAATCAACATCATATAAATATTAATATTCGTTTCTACGACCAAACTATATCTATATATATATATTTACGCGTGACATACATATATACGAATACGATACTAGGAAGCAGGAAATGTTTCTCCAACTGCTACTCCATTGAAAACGTGACGTACTCGATATAGTCCTGCTAAAGGTAAACTAGACTCACTAGAATCACTAAAAGGGTAACGTTCACGATCGAGAAATCCTAGAATCGAT